CTCTTTCTATGTGCCTATGCAGTCTCCCAGGCTGCCCCAATATCAGTGTGCCCACAGACTCAGATTGAGAGATCCTCGACTCAGATTTTGGCTAAGTAGCTGCAGGGATTGGTCCACTCTGATCTGGCTTACACATATACAGGCAAGCTGGCCCAATCTGATCTGATCTGGTTTGACAAACACCACCAGGTCATGGGAATGGGGACTACTCCTTGCCACGAGATACATGACACTTTCAGAGGATCATGTCCTCTGGGGCTCTGATCTTTGCAGAGAGAGATCTTCTCCATCCAGATGTTCTGTGTAGGCAGCAGAAGTCTGAGCTCCTACAATTCGTATATCTTGCAAGCCTGTGAATCAGAAATTTTAATGCTTTTGCAGGGCACCTCTTTCAGCAGCATTGGCAAAGCTCTTGAAAGTATTTCTCATTTTTTGGCTAGCCTTCCTCAGCAGGTCTGTGGGTCAATTAGCTGAAATCCCCAGCTAGATTCAAGTAGTACGCTTAGCAAATCCCTCTGAAATATGGGAAGGTTAATTAACTGTTAAACCAAGCAAATAGCACTCTGCACCATATCCTCTGGATCAACGCAAATGAAACAGACCATTTTGGAGATATCCAGCTGAACTTAAATTCTGCTTCTGTCAAACCAAGTAAGTCACCAGTGTGTCTACAGATGACACAGCATGTTATCACTACTTAAACCTCTACGAAACATGGGACAGCTGGCATAATGCTTAAAAAAATAAATGTTATGACATGAAATGCTAATGTTGCTTCTTATCTTAGAACATTAATAATGCTTTGCATATATTCATCCAAGTCTGGGAGACAGGAGATATATATGTATATCTCTTAAAGGATGTAAGGATTAGCTGAGTAACAGAAACTTAGCAGATATGATGGGACAGAGTGACAAAACAAGGAATGAACTTCCAGGCTTCTTCACTCATCACTAAACAGTGCATAGGAAAATTAAACTGAATTTTCTGAAAAGCGTTTTGAGGTATACAAAAGAAGGTACCATGTATATGGTGTAGTGCTAATGTTATATCTGAATGTTGTTTTAGTAATTCTTTACATTTATTATCATATCTGCTTTCATGAAGTGTAATCCCATTCCTTCGTCATCGATGAACAGCAGCACAGAGGAGCACCGATGTTTTATTCGTACAGACTCTTTTTTTTCATGTCTGGTATCTATGTAGTATTTAGAAGCAATACTGAAACCATCATATGCAGATGAAGCATTACATTTGCATATAGACAGGCACAGAGAGATGGATAACCCAGGTTCCAAAACCATCCTCTGATTAAGGGTGCTTCCCTCCCACAGGAAGCTGTAAAGGAAGTGATATTAGTCGAAACACGAGGTTTGCATATAATAACAATCATGGCATCATGTTCTTTAATTTGTCTAATACAGCTTTCTAATGATTTTATTGGCAGGAGCCGAACTTGCTATATTAAAAAAACACTATCCAAGTTAGTCAATTGCTCTCATATAGGTGGCAATAAAGAATAGAGGAACAAAGCATACTTCTACATGACATAAATGATAGTCATAAGAAAATAGCATTGTTAATTACTCCCATTTGTTAACAGACCTCGCCCTTTATGATTATCAATTTCATTAGGCTTAACATCATTCTGCTAACTTTTTCCAGAAAAGGCAGCAATAAAAACAGTTAACACATAACAACACCAGTTTTCTCCTTAAAATGCATTTTAAATGTAGAAGTTATTTCCATGCATTTCTAGTGTGTGCAGAGATAACCTTTATGAGTAGAACAGAAACTAATGTAGGTAAATTATTTAGCTGAAGATATTGTGTTCAATTAATTAATTTCATATATGCAGGAGTAAAAATATTCTTTTCAATAAATTGGATAAGTACATTTACTGTAGAAAACAGTATATTATTTTTGAGAGATAAAAGTACACTAATAAGATCCACTTTTCCTATTAAAGTGTTTTCAACTAAGATACAAATGATCAAAGATGCATAAAAAAGCTTTGTATGTTCTGAAATGGAAGGTGAGTTTGATTTGTGCAAAATGTAGCTATGTATAAAACAAAAAAACACTCAAATGGGTGTAATGATAGCATCACAGCAAAAATGAAATAGATGATTAAAAAAAGGTTTCACTATTGATTTGTTCTGCAATGAAACATTTTGTTTCTGACCCCATTAGTTCTTTTTGTTCAGTAAATTAAAAATTAATTCCATGAAATTTCCATTTACTTATAGGGCTAGCATTTTACCTGGAAAACTGGAGACTATTATGCAGTTAGAAAAGTCCTAAGAAAGATAAAGAATACCTTTATGATGATTGTCCATAATCCCAAGATTAAGGAATAATCAAGCTTTGGCACAAATTATTCTCAATACAGTTATACATCTCAAAGCAAAATTAAAAGTATGGAATTATACTGCTATTTGTGAGAATGCCACAAATTTAAGCCACATCTTATTCTTTTCAGATCACTTCAGATCATGCTCTAAATCACCATGGCCAAAGCTCTGTTTCTCCATGTCCAAGTCAACAGCAATTAAGCAGACAGCTGCAGCCTTTCACCTAAACTTTCACTCACTCACCAAAAGGAGAAGAGCAGCAAACTGTAACCAGACTGAGAACTCTAGCACTTGTCTCAGCAGTTTCATTATAGTCCAGTTCTCTATGAATAAACGCCACCAAGGCAAATTTTACCAAACTATTGTTCATTTTAATGTCATGAGAAAAACATGTTAGAATAAATAATAAGCCAATTATAGTTAAGTCCATTAGGCTGTCTTGTGAAGATCTGTTCCTGTCTGTGTCCCTGCATACTACGTACTTTCTAAACTTGTACAACTTCAATCTAATGCAGTCACACATACCCAGAATATGTTCAGTTTGGCTTTTTTCAGTTGCATGAATTTTTTTAAAAAATCACTCTCTTAATATATTTGCTAAGGATGTATGTTTTATGAATATTTGCTTATTAATGTTTGAAAAGTACTTTCAGACTCTTGACTAATAAGGGAAAATACCAGCTCAGAAGATGCAAAGCTTCAGAAATTCTGAATGTGCCTTTAGAGTCATGAAAATGTGAAGAGATCCCACACTTAAGCCTTTCCAAAAATCTCAAAATCAAACAAATTCACTGTACAATATTTAATAATCTTTTTTGTTATTATTTTTAGTACAAATTCACAAACAGTTGCACAAATTATATTGCATTTCTGCTTCCTACCTCACAATTTATAATTAGGAACTTTTCAGACAAATAACCTGCTGCCCCTCTTAATTTGCTGAGCACATGATCACAGTTGCTTGCTCTAGTGCCTCCCTGGCTACAGCAGGCATGGGGCCTGTGCGTCATTTAAAACTGGCGATATTAGAAGGATCATTGTTAGACCTTCAGCAACAACAAAGCACAAATTAATGGGCCATCAGAAGTTTCCAACCAGAGGAGTGAGGATTTCTGTTAAACATCATCCCACTGTGGCAGTTTCAGGGCTGTGTTGTTGGCGCAGATGAGTTAGCTGGTAAAGAAGAGATTTGGTTCAGTAGTACAACTTGTTATTTAAGGCCAATAACAGTTTCAAGGACTATCCACTACACTGGTTATTATAATATGATTATAAAAGTGAGTTGCTATGGCCGAAGAAATCATTTTGTCTTGAAATTGATTTGGAGAACCAATGGACAAATATGGTGAACACGACTATGAACTTGTCTCTGAGCAAAAGTCTTTATTTTAAACATTGCTTTCTGTGCAAAGATCTCAGGAGAGCTGGGCACAGAACTAACATTCTGATCCACTCTCTTAAATTTAATTAAAAAACAGTGTGCAGAAATGCTTTCAAGATCATCAGTCTCCCATCTCTTTGGCCTACCTGTGCAAACAAAAATTATTCTGACCGACGGCTTTCTCCTCCTGCCCTGTGGAGGCAGGAACAGTCTGGAGCAAGGGAATCCCTGAAAACCCGCTCTCACTTCGGTTGCTGTGTCATGACCAAGAACAGAGACTTTGGCAGGGGCTTCTCCTTAAAAAACAACAGACTGCTGCTATCAGGGCACTTTGGGCAACCTTAGGGCAAACCTATCTGAGCAACAGCAGTGACCGCCATTCTGTGTCTTGCTATGGTCACAGCTCTGCAACCTCCACCATCTCTGGAAGTGCCCACCAGCCCCTTTCCAGTACAGCCCTTTCCATATTCCTGGGGATATGTAGCTGTTCATCAAACTCTACAATCTCTTCAGTCTTAAAAAAAAAAAAAAAAAACTAGCTTTCCCCATATTTCAGGTACAGCTAAACACTGAGCTAAGCATTATTAAGTTGCTGCTCGAGCATTCATCTTAATCTTTCTGCACGTAAGCTGGCAAGTGCATCTACTAGCCAGCTACAACTACACAGACGAAAGCTTTCGAGGAACGGTGCCAGATAGGAATAGGCAGGTAAAAAGGAGAAAAACTGACAGAAGGGAAATCTCCAGTCTCCTGACAACTATGGCAAAGAAGTAAAATATGAGAGTAATAAGGTGAGCAGTGGGATGTTCCACTTTGAAACTGGCAGAAGAGGAATTTGAATGCTGGTGTACCCATAATTTAGGTGAATAACCCTGTCACAGGGCTATCTTGTGGTGGGCCTTTATCTCTCAGATATGGATCAGAATTTCAACCTGGCACTTAACAATAAGTAAAAGTTTAGCAAAATCTGCATGCTCCCATGGAAAGTCTGGATTACAAAAAACTGAAAAGAAATTGTAAAAAGATTTCAAAGAATTTCTGATGAAAATCTGTTTCACTGGAAAATTCTGTTCAGCATCTCTAAAATGTTTGCTAATCAGAGACAGTTTTAAGTTTCAGACATACAGAAACCTTTTATGGTACAGCCCAGTGAAAAAAATAGCTATTATGCACTACTTGGGAGTTACCTTTATTTCTTTGCATTCATCACACTGCTGCTGTGAGCGAGACTTGCAGTTGGAGATGCATCATATATTCAGCAGCACTGAGATCACAGTGACGTGAAAAGCAAGGCAAGAGAATCACCCCTCCATCCATTCCAAAAATACTCCTGTTACAGCCAGCAAGAGCACGCGCTGCAGCCGATCCGTCCACCACCAAAAGACCCAAGCTGTATTTCCAACCGACCCATTTTTCCAAGACTGAAGGACATCACAGAACCAGGTACATCATTAAAGTTCTCAGTTACTCATTTATTTTTAAATGTGGATGTTATTTCTCTCTGTAATAGCCTCAAAGTCACACCACAGAAGAACAGCCATTCACCCTGTTAGTATGCGTAAAAGGCTACACAGGCTCTGTGGAAGATTCACTCTAGCAGAAGCAAAGACAGGAAATGTGACTGTAAGTATAAACAGAAGAAAATCACACTTATACTAAAGCGGGTCTGAGTATATGTATATGTAAGTGGGAAGGGGAGGAAAGCTTGTGTGTTTCATACAGTTATATTTTCCTCCCAGCTAATAATATCTTTCTGATATATCACTTTCCAGCCAAATACCTGAAGATGTTTTACTTAAAAGAAGGGCATCAGCATTTCCATGTGAAAGGTAGAGAAACTGAGGCACTGGGAGAGAGCATGACTTGTCTAAATTCACTCAGCAATCCATTAGAAGAGCTCAGACTAGAGCTACCGTCTCTTCATGCTCAAGCCAGTGTCCTACCTGGTAGGCAACACTGCTTTGCCACATCAGCCCCACAGATGGGGTGTACTGGCATATTAACCTGCTAAGAACACACCACAGCCCAAAGGCTGTTCTTTAATGCACATTATACAGGTATTAACTTGATAGTGCCTTGCTGTTGCATATACACACATGCAAATCATTCACATAAAATCATGTGAGTCTTCGTCTTCATTAAACAGTATGATATTCCTGTATGTGTGACAGGAACTTTTCTCTCGTGCATCAGCTTTGGAGAAGTTCAGGATCTATTTTCTGGTTGCAGCTACTTATGATCACAATCAAGATGATATTGACAGATGTATTAACATTGAGGCAGTCTGATTTGATGCTTGTAATTGTAAATACGTTTTGTCCCTGAATATATTTCAATAGATTTAAGGTAAATAATACTCTCTGAGGAGGTAAGACTGGAGAAAGACAGATATGGAGGTGAGATGCAGAACATAATATTCTGAATATTCTCCAGATTTGTATCTCTTTCTGTTCTAGATATCCATTGCACTGCTTAGATGGAGATAAAGGCAATGAGTGAAATATAAGCTTTTCTCCAAGGTATATTCCAAAACCTCTTACAGGGCTTCACAGAGCTAAAATTGTCTTAGCTCTTCTGCAGTTTCACTGCCATAATGTGCTCATTTAATTTGTGATGGAAATAGCATATTTGAGTTATCATTATTCATTACTTTAGCTTCTCCTACAGTTTCATTTGTCCTCCTGAAACTCTCCATTGAGTTCGCTCTGGCTATAAATAAATTCTCTTGGGATCCTGAATCTCGCTTTCTGAACAAAAATTTCAGTGACTCATTCGCATACATATTTTCTTCCATTATCTTCATCAAGGGTGAATGTTCATGCTCATTCCAAAAGGTCAGAAGGAAAGAAGCCGTGACTTGCTTCCTGTCTGAAGTAGGTCAGAATGCTCTTTCCCTCGATG